ACTAATAATCCTGAAGTCCGGGGCCAAAAAAGGCCGGGGAAGCCCCCGGCCATCATTCGCCCACGAGACCGGACTTCCGGCTTTGACTAGGTACCTGAAATTGTACCCTTTTCCTTATAGAAAATATATGCTTTTTATTTTTAAGGGATTTCGCTTAAATTTGCGATTTTTCAAACGTTTTTGATGGCTTTTTTGGGTTGCGATGGTCCAGGAAAGCTTCAAAGGAGCGCCCGTTCTTTGTACTTTTCAAATTAGCTTCCGGTTGAGTCATATACATAGACAAAATAGACCAAAAGACAACATAATAATTGAGAAACGGCACTTTCGAGGAGCGTTCCGCGGCATCGTCGATTAATTAAATGCTGATTGAGGATGATGGGACCGGCTCGTTATTTTTTTTGATACGTTCGGTTTGCTCTCTCTCACTCTCTCTCCCTGTCTCTTTCCCCTCTCTCTCCGTTTCTCTCGCCCCCCATTTATACCCCTTTAAAGACTTCTCAAATATTGACCCAAACCGGTGAGGAGGAGGAGGAGCACCCCCCACGACCCCCATTTGACCCACTGGGTCATAGCAGCCGTTTTTGGTTTTTTTTCAGCTCTCCAACCGATTGTGTTTGCATTTCAGCGCTGTGGGGGGTGGGGTGGATCGTGTCTGCCCCCACCCCTCCGAATTCGTAATTACTGCTTGTGTTGTTTGCCTCGAGCGAAGGAAAATAAGGTCAAGCACGAAAGAGGCGATGTTTGAATTCCATTACCCTTTTCAGCCAACTCATTCAAATTTTGCATAAAGTTTACGAGATAATCCCAATCTTTGAGTTCCTATTAAGGCGTTAAAATGTCTTTAAATCTCAGAAATGTCTTCTATTTGGCATATTATTGCTTTGTAAAAATCACGAAGTGCCAAACGGAATTTCCCCTGCCAAAAGGCTCGATTCCCGTTATCTTAGCATTTTTGCGCGTTAACGGCTTGAAATTTCATTGTCAATGGCTACACTCTTTCTGCAGACATTCTTTGCGACACATCAGTGCCTAATTTGCATATCTTCAGACCAAAATGCGAATCTCCGAATTTACAAATTCATTGTTTTTGACTGGTACCCTGTTTTCCACCCAGACGCCATACCATCATCGAGAAATCCTAATTTTTGCACAAAAACACTGATTTTCGCTGGATTTTCCATTGCATTCCTCTGCCTCTGGCAAAAATAGCAATTTAATCTGCGATGCGATGCGACCTGGGCGACCAATTTCGGAAAACAATCATCCAGATGGGGGTAGAAAATGTCCGGATTGGTGGGTGGCCTTGGACGGCTTCCTAAAAGATGGAGAAGATTGGTGTGATTTAACTTGTTTCAGATTGGATTCAGAAATCAAAAAAATTTTCGGAATTTTTGTAGATAGTTTGAAAATGGAAATTAAGCTGCCTCTCTCTCGCTTTCTCTCGCGCTCTCTCTCACTCTCTCTCTCGCCCTCTCTCAATGCAGATGAAGCTACGCTTTTGCAGCTCCTATACTTATTTAATGAAGCATGTTTCCTTGCTGCCTCCATTTTTCCTATTTCTTCTTTCGACGTTTTCACTTCTTTTTTCGGATTTGGCGTGTTCCAGGCTTCTTCTCCTGCTTCTGAGGGCTCCCAGAGGCTTTTGGGGGCGGTGTCGGTGATGTGTGTCTCGAGGGTGGTTAGAGAAAAAAGGCTGGTGGGGCCCGGCGAATTCTGCTGGTTTGGACTTTAGGCTTTTGGCCCCCATTCATTTCCGCAATCTGCCCCCCTTTTTTCTTGATCATAATGTTGCTCTCTGTGCTCTGTACGTTTTCGTGAAGTCGTACTTGTTCCAGTCGTGGGGTAAGGCCAGAAATATGGTGCTGATTTTCTTGAATTTTTCTGGACAAGGACCGGACCGGAAAGCAAATTTGGTGGCTTTTCCTCGCGTTTTAGCTTTATCTCCTTCTCGTGCTCTATCTTTCTGTCTCCCTTTCCCTGACTCTCTCTCTTACTCTGGCTTTTTCTCTCTCTCTCCCTCTCTCTTTCTCTCTCACCCTTTCTCTCTCACTACCTCTTCTTCTTCCCTACTTCTTTTTAATGAGGGCAGCTGCCACTCGTGCCAATTTTACGTTAGTTTTTTTCGAGAAGCGTAATTAGTGCAATGGTTGTACTCTTTAAAATGAGCAGCCGTCACTAAGGAATTCCATTACAGTAATCTTGTTTCATAAATTATATCTTCCTAGAACTTGCGTTTTTGTCAGAAAAGTCGAAAAATCGCTTGAAAAGGATTTTTCGACAAAACGTGGGGCGTTATGGCCCTATGCAAACCTCGGCATCAACCTTTTGTAGCTAGGTGATCATCGAAACACCGAGAACACCTAGTTTTGCTGGCTATTTGGAATATTATAACAAGCTCTCCCCCCGCTTTTCTAGATGGTGCACATAGCTCAAAAATTAAAAGGCCCATATGGCCTCCCGCGTTCTCTTCTTTTCCGTCCTGTTCTCCCCATTTCCGGGAAAAGCATTCCCGGCGCCGCCCGGCGGGAAAAATGTGCAAAATTCCAGAATCCCAGGAAATTTTTGATACAGATTTTTGTGTCGATTTTTTTAGTGGTTGGCGGTCGTGGGAGGACGCCTCGGGGCATCGCTTGGGAAAACAAAGGGCTCGCGGTTTTATGTAATCTCGGGATTGGCTTTTGATTTTTAAGGAGAGGGAGAGAGAGAGAGCGAGAGAGCGTGAGAGAGAGAGAGCGAGAGAAAGAGCGAACAACAATAGGACTCGTCAAATGCTTCATATCAAGTTTGTGGTTTTTATGACTCTCACGCTTTTTCGTCTCTTTCGCTCGTGCACACGCTCTTTCTCTCTCGCTCTCGGCTCTCTCTCTCTCTCACTATCTATCTCTCGCCTGTGCTGATGGTCTCCCTCGCACTCGTTAGAAATTTCTGTAGCTTCAGTGGCTTACCGTGGCCCTCTTTAATCAAACACGACATCTAATTCTGGATTTTTAACCTAACTTTAAATTTCTTTCGATACTGTTCTTTCTCTCTCTCTCTCTCTCTCTCTATCTCGCTCCCTCTCTCTCGCCCGCCTCTTTGTGGCCTTTCCCTCTCTACCTATATAATTTTTAACGCTGGTTCCCATACCAAATCTCGTGGGCCTCTCTCTGATTGTCCCCGAGGCACGAAAAACAACAATGAGCCCCCGGCGGGCCCCGATCCCAGGGATTCCCATGTAATCTCAGGGTCTGTCCGGTCGGGGTGTCTACACACCCTCGAAAAATTACGGGTAGCTCCTTTTTTGCTTCCTCACCTCCCCTTTTTGGCCGTCTCTTCGGCAGCCTGGCAACGGGGGGAATTCTCAGCCCTATTCTTTTCCCCTCAATACACACCTCTTCCCCTCCCCCCTCTACCTGGATATCTTGCCCTGCCCCGCACACCCATTGTTGTTATTTGATTGCTGTTTTTGGGGCTGGCGCCAAGATTCTGGACCGGATTGGGATTGGCAGATTTTGGTTTTTGATTTTATGATTTTAAGGGATTCTCACGCTTTTCTGATAGTACTCGAAATTTGTAGCATGCACTACTCCGGATTTTTCAGTTTTTTTTCTTCGATTTGGATTTTCGGGTTCTGGTGATTTTTATCCGACGGGCTCGTATAGTACCTTTTTTGTGAAAAATATTTTTTAGTGGGAAAAACTTACCGCTGAGCTGATTTTCTTAATTTTAAAATCCAATTATTAGCAGGTAATTTTGGAAAGTTACTTATTTCTAAATTTCATTTTTGCCTGGGATCTAGCAAATGGTGGCACTTTCTGTATTTTTTTCAAAGAAAAGCGTAATTTGGAGCCTCCTGTACTTCGAATACCTCGGTTTGACTATCCAACCAAAGTCCATTACGTGCAATTTGCTCCGGCTGCTTTTCTCTCGTTTTTAACTTTTCTGATGTTTTTCTTTAACTATGCGCACAGGTTTCCAGAATTTTAAAGGGTTTCTCAATTGATGAGAGGTTCAGGATCCTGAACCTGAAATTGTCAACAGTTCATCTCGCAGAAAAAGTACATAACATCGGCGAGATGAAAGCTAAAAGGCAATTCCCATGGACCCCGGCCTCACTGTCAATTCCCCTCGATAATGTTTTGTGCAAACTGTCGCTATCAACCAGCCGGGGCCGAGGGTCTGTCCTCTAGGCAATGGACCCGAATCGTCTGATCTTTTAGGAACCGTCTGGTCAAAGTGTTAGCCTGTTTAAAGGAATGATGAAGACTAATTTCCAATGGCCGCTTTTGCAAAATAGACGCTGCATTAATGAGTTCAATAATAGTCTTATTTTGTTGTTTATCTATTACTTACTATTAGCCTATTTTTGTTAACGTTGCAATCTTAATATCTTACAATTATTTTTCTTGCTCACATACTCGTTCCACTGCTTAGCTAGTTAACCTCCTCCCCCAACCCGGCAAAAGCTCCATATTTACTCAGCGGTCTCGTCATTTTGTTCCAACAATTCCACCCCTTGGGTGGGTCCAGGCAAAACTTCAGCACCCAGATTACGTAGGCGGCCCAGTAGCGACTGCTCCCGCCGGGTGACTAAAAAAGGTGATAAAAATAACCCTTTGTTCCTCTTTGCCCCCGCTTAATTAATCCGATCTTAATGCAACCGGGTGTTCACGGGGGTGTCACAGGAATTTCTGCCTGAATGCGTTTCAGTCTGGATTCAAATTTTGACACAGGAATGCGAAAAATTCCTTTAAAAATTATTGAAAAGAACTAAAATATATTCTATAGTCTTTATGATGATCTTTCAACTTGAAAATTCTATGAAAGAGGCGTGAAAATGGTGATTTTTCACTTGGAATACCTTGTGCGTCATCTTTTGTGAGACTTGAATAGCGTCTATCTCTCTCGTTTTCTCTCCCTCTTTCTCTCTCTCGTTCGCTCTCTCTCTCCCTCCTCTCTCTCTCTCCCTCTCTCTCTTGGTTACTTAAAAAATGCCTCATTTTCAGTGATCAAATGCAGTGATGCCGTCCGCGGTGTCACGATCCCTCCCCGGAGTCTCAGAAATAGCCACGGCGCTGCCGTTAATAGGTATGTAACGGGGTCTAAAAAACTAGCTAGACACCTTAGCAAAGATCCTCAAGGAATCTCGTTCAACCCAACCAAAATCTGATTTTTCCAGCCTCAATCATCGACGGAAATGACACACTTGCCGCCCAGCCGGAGGACTTTGAGCCCATCCACGATCCTCATCACACGGGTCAATTTTTCCACTTTGACGAGACGGGAGCGCCACTGACGATTTTGGCCATCATCGCGTTGATCGGGTTTTTGAAGACAGGTACGATTCTTAATATCTCGCTCTCTCTCTCTCACTCTCTCTCACTCTCTCTTTGTCTCTCTCTCTCCTCTCTCTCTCTCTCTCTCGCTCTCCCTCGCTCTCGCATACAAAATACGTTTTCAGCCCTAATTAAAGCCCGAGGCGTGCCCCACTCGGTCCTGTTGCTCATCTTCGGCTCAGCCGCCGGCTTCATATTAACACGGGTCATCACACAAGACGTAAGTCTTGAAAATATACCTTAAACGCTATAGAAAAATACATTAATCCATTGCCTTTAGTTATATCTGCGTCCACAATGGTTCTTCTACTACATGCTGCCCCCAATCGTGTTAGAAGCCGGGTATTTCCTGAAGAACAAGGACTTTTTCCACAATCTCGGCACAATTACGCTGTTTGCTGTGATCGGGACGATTATGAATACGGCAATGATTGGTGAGTAAAAAGCTGGAATTTTATATCTTTTGAGATATCCAAATTATTTAACTTGATTTTCTGGTTCGAAATTTTTGATTTTCTCCCGGCTGAAAAGTGTCGTGACACCTTTTTTTAAGGCTCCAAGAAATTAACTAAAGCTGTTTTAACAAGAATGAACGCTTTGAAAGAGCCAGAGCTTTATTTTTAGCCGCCATGCTCTACGCGGTTCGCGGTTGGTTCACCATCAATTTGTCGTTGCTCGAGATCACGCTGTTCTCAATCCTGATCTGCGCTGTAGATCCGGTCGCTGTTTTGTGTGTATTTGAGGTAAGTAGGTCTGTAATAAGATCTCCAATAACTTGTCCTTTAACCGCATAAATTTGAGGAATTCAGTAAACCTGGAATACCTCATCAATTTAGGATATTCACGTCAACGAGCTGCTGTACATTTGCGTATTCGGAGAAAGTCTGCTCAACGATGCCGTCACCATTGTAAGTGTCTTGAGTACTTGACGTCTTGCTGCATACGGTACGCAGGCCAAGTAGTGTGCACCGTGTAACGTACTACTAGGGAAAGCAAATGAGGAGTACGGTAGGTATTGGCATTAATAGCGCTACAGGCCAAAGATTGTCGGTACTGCTACTTAATTTACCAAATGATACCATTTTTTGGATAATAGCTGTATAAGCTATATTTAAGTTTGTCTTTAGGTTCTGTTCAACACCGTCTCCTCGTTGGTGACAAGTTCGACCGGCGGCGCAAATCAGATCACGATCGGTGCAGCGGAGTGTGGACAAGCCTTGGGGCATTTCTTCCGGGTATCATTAGGCGGAATCGGATGCGGAGTAGTTGGCGGATATCTTACAGTGCTATTTATGAGGTGAGAAAGAGAGAGCTAGACAGAGATCGAGATAGAGGTAGAGATAGAGAGAGAGAATAGTCAAACTCTATAGCTGTTTTTCAGATTCCTCGTCACCTTCCAAATAGCCCAGCCCATCAACCTCATCGCTTGCCCGATCGTGTGCTATTTGTTGACCGAAAGCATGCATTTATCGGCAATTCTATCGTCAGTACTTACTTGATGATATCGTATCTCCAACTTGTAAATCGAAGATACCATTAATGCGCGCTTTTAGCCTCGTCGTGATCGGTATCATCATGAAGAACTACATGCCGGGCAACGTCTCCGATCCGATGGTGTTTACTGTGGAATACCTGCTGAAGATGGGCTCGTCGTAGTAAGTTTTTTCATTGCGTAATCGGACCAGCTGATTTTTTTTATTAATTTGGTGCTAAACCAGGCGAGCTAGCAGAAAACCTTTGAGAAAATTCGGTTACGTCCTTTCCCTTTAGTTCCGAATCCCTGGTCTTCGTCTTCCTCGGAGTTTCCGTTGTCTCCTCGAACCACCAGTTCGATTTCTGGTTCGTCATCTGTACACTGACCGGATGTTTAGTTTTCCGGTTTATAGGTATGTTTCGAGTTTAGAGGAGCGAGTACTTATCTAACTGTTTAGTCGTCTACTTCCTCAGCTTCATGGCCAACAGGTACCGCGCGGAGACGGAGCGTATCAGCATCGTCGACCAGTTCGTGATTGCTTATGGAGGAATTCGAGGTAAAGATAGAGCGAGTGCGAGAGTGAGAGTGAGTGAGAGAGAGAAAGAGAGAAAGGGAGAGAGAAAGAGAAAGAGCGAGAGCGTCAGCGCCAGAGAAACATCTGAATTTTCAGGAGCCGTCTGCTACGGTCTCGTCATGGCCATCGACGAGAACTTTTTCCCGGCTAAACAAATGTTTGTCACGACAACGCTGGTCGTCATTTTCTTCACTACGATTGTTCAGGTACGAGACACTACTTACTACAGTAACCAATGCTAAAAGAAAGCAATTCGTAATATTTCTTAACAACAGTTTTTTGGCGCTTTTTTTCAAGTTATTTTTGACTTCTAGGGCTCCACCATCAAGAAACTTGTCGAGTGGTTGAAGGTCAAGCGCAGCAAGAACTTTGGAAAAGAATCCGAGAAGAAGCGAGTCATCGACTACTTCTTCGGCGAGACCAACAAGCATCTGATGTTCTACATTGAGGACTTGATAGCGCACCATGGACAAAATTGGGTAGCAACCTTATATTTTATAGAAAACCCATATTCTTTTTTTCAGTTTTTCCGAAAATTCCTTGAGAAAGACCGAAAATGGATCAAGCCGTTTTTGGTGGCAAACTACAAGCATTTGGATTGTCAAATTGTTGTGCAGCACCAGCGGCTTGAACTTGACGAATATGCTTGTAATATCAGGTCTGCATTTTTGAAATCAGCATCTATCTCCCACTCTCTCTCTCTCTCACTCTCTCGCTCTCGCTCTCGCTCTCTCTCCAATCCCTTCGTTTCAGAGGCCAAGGCGGCTCCTTCGCGGGTCTCCCCACCGTCTCCTCCCTCGCCGACATGCAGCTCCACCCCGGCCTCCCCAAGTCGAAATCCGAGGCCCTACTGGCACCTCGTATCCTCGACCCGTACGCGCGCTAGGCTCCACGTTTGTCGGGCTTCTCCAGGAGCCCCAGCAACACCATCCCCAGCCACCGCAGCCACAGCTGCTTCCGGCACTTCCACAAAAAACACAGCTACTCTGGCAACTCGCCGCCGCCAAGTCGGCCCCCTCACGGCGCCTGCGCTTCACCCGCGCCCACACAATTGGGTCCCGGTACGACGGGGCCTCTGGCTTGAAAATAGGCCACGCCCACACTCACGCACGCTTGATCAGGCTCAGTTTTGAGCAAGAGATCACGCATCCTCTGACGCAGATTCTGTTCCGCCGAAAATTCTGTCGTATCGTGGCGCTATTCGGTGTAGATGGAGATTGTGGATTTGGTTCTGCAAGGCTATTTTTTCGAACATAAGTTAGCTTTTTGCTATGAAAAAGTAACGTATGGTAGTCGACTCGACGCGGACGCCGCGCTTCAGCACCATACCAGATTTTTTTAAAGGGATCGGCAAGGCCTATCAGCCACGAAATCCATCGATTATTTTGAAATTGCGCGGAGTTAAAATTCACTAATTTTAAAGAATTTTTGGTTTTTGTCCGGACGGATATATTTTATTTACGTTACGCCACCGTTCTGGTATGCAAATTATTGGTAGGAAGATAG